GCGAGGCCCCATCGTGGCAGCTAGCAACGCCTCCCGGAGGGCACAGGGGCCAGGCGCAGTGCCCACACCCAGCAGCGGCAGCCAGCCAGCGCCCCGCTGAAGACTTAGCAGTGCTGACTGAGGCAGCGCCAGACTGCAGTTAGACGTGTGAGCGAAGCCCCCGTCAGAATAATTAGTAAAGTTATGCTGTCAGCCTCAGGTATGGAATTAACAAAGGCCCCAGAGTAATTACCGAGACGCCCCAGTTATAGAGGTAGCAAAGCCCCCCAGTTAGAATAACTGCCAAGGCCCCCTAGTTACAGTCTAGCAAATTCCTCTGACCGCAACCAGCAACGCCCACTTACAGAACCAGTGGAGCCCAGTTTCATTCGCTATCAAAAAAGCCCCCAAAGTAACTAGCTACGTCCTCCCCGAAGTGACAGTGGCCAGCACCCCACCCCAAATGGCAGCAGCTCTGTCTTCGGCCGAGCGCACCCGGAGAGGCGGGCACAGGTCGGCCGTGCCGAGGAGGGCGCACAGGACGGGCACAGCCAGGGCAGCCTGCGCGCCAGGACCGGTCTGGGCCGCACAGGGCTGAGAGGCCTGGCCGAGGCGTGCCGGGCTGCCTGTCCTGCCGGCTGGGCAGGACAGCGGAGAGGACAAAGGGCAGCAGCAGACACCCCAGGGAAAGGCCGGGCGGCGTCTGGGCCGGGCCGGTGGCCTAATCAAGCGACCGGAGGTGGCGAGGCGGGGCGCCGAGGGCTGGGCGGGTGGTCAGCACCCGCAGAACCGGAGCCTCGGGCCAGAGGGAGGGTAGGCGCCTCAAGCTGGGGGCGGACGCCGCTGGTGGCGGAGGCCACGTGCACAGTGTGGCCGCCGCGAGGGTCTGTGGCCTGGACCCACACCGGCAGCCCCCGAGAGCAAGGCGAGGGCCCCGGAGCCACCGGCCTGCCGGCCTGCCTCCTGGGCGAAGTGTCGGCTGGGCTGACCCCCACCATGCGGCTCGCAGGCCAGGACGGAGACAGGCGGGCTGAGTGCAGCCACGGGCCCGCGTCCCAGCGGCGGGGACAGCGGGAAGGCAGAGTCCAGGCCGTGGGGGCCGGCGCGGCTGGAAGAGGCAGCCTGAGGGCGCCTCGTGGCGCGCACTGAGCGAGGGGGCCGGTGCCGGGTGTCCACCGGTGCCCTCCGGGGCTGTGAACAGGGCAGGCGAGAGGCAGCAATCTGGGGGCCCTGCAGCGGGAGGTGAGGAGGGGGCCACACAGGGGTCGAGGCCAGGGGAGGAAGGTCACGCCCGGAGCCTGGGGACGCTGGGCAGTGGCCTGAGTGACAGGGAGGGGCGCGATGGCCGTTTGTAAGTGAAGAACAAGCAGCAGGACAGTCCACTTACCCTATTACAATCTACCAGACGCTCTTCGTTACTGGGCATTTCTTTAGCATCTGGATGCTCTTCTAGGCCACTCCCGCCCCTGGTTTTTGTGTAAGGCTCTTAGTCATTGTGAATGGAGAAGGGAAAAGAGGGAAAGGGGGAAATTCCATTAAGACACAGTCACGAAACAGACATTCTTGTTTCACTTCTCGCTGACACACGGGCATCATCGGGCCTGCCGGCCCTCTGGGGAGCTCAGGTGGACAGCAGGGCGGCAGGGTGGCCGGCCACATGCAAGGAACGCTGCGGCCATGCACAGGCACGCCGAAATGATGTCATGGAGGGAGGGACGGGCCAGGCGCGCACACAGTCCTGCCGCTCGGCCTGGAGACCCCGGGAAGCCAGCATCTGCTGGTGCCCGGGCCTGGCCCGGCACACAGACCTGCAGGCCGGCTCTCCGGCGCCAGTGTGGAGACAGACGTTGCTCCGCACGAGTTCACGGAACAGATGAGCGCAGAAAACACAAGTGGGGACCCCTCTGCTTGTTCTTCCCAGTCCCCAGGGCTGGGCTCTAGGCGGAGTGGCGGGGGCCAGGGCGAGGGACGGCGGCCAGGGGCTGGCCGGCGCCACGGAGGACTGTAAGCCGCACGCGGTACGGGCCCGGCCATTTGCGGTAAGCAACGGTCCTTGTCCGCACTGTGCCCCGAGATCCCCCAAGCGGGAAGAGCCTCGGGACCCACCTGAGGTTCTCACTGACGGGAGGGGAGGGGTTGGGGTCACAGCAGTTTCTAAGAAGCTCCCAGGCGAGTGGGACGCAGAGGCAGGGTGCAGCCCCCACCCCAGGCCCTGACCACCTGCACATGGAAAGGCGCTGGAGCCGAGAGGAGTGAGGCCCAGGCAGGCCGGCCGGGGCACCGCTGCGTGCAGGCCTGGACTCCCGAGCTGTGAGCCTCGCCTGTCACCGCTGAGGCTCCACGAGAGACTGCCACCCCGTGCAGGACGTGGGCACCGCACGCGGCGACGCCGCGCCCTTGGCGCCCTCCGCGCCATCGGGGTGGGCCCGGGCCACGGGGCAGGCCACGGGGGCCCTGCCTGCCTCTCGCCAGAGCGGCCAGGCCTCTCCGTCCTTGCCGAGTTGCGGCTGCCTCAGCTGTCGCAAGCAGCCAGCGTCGGTGCACGACGGCAGCCCGGGCCCTGGGGGTGCGGCCCCCAGTCCAGGTCTGACGACGTGACTCGCCTGTCTGTAACTTGGGCCAAATTCTGGAATGCCTCGGAGCCCTACTCCCCTCAGATCGGAGGGCCGCCTGCCCTCCCAGATCTGTGCGGTAGCTGAGGACGAGGTCAGCCCCGGCACACGGTGAGGCCGCCCGCAGCTGTTTCTGGCCGAAGGCCGGGGCTGGGCCCGCAGCTGAGGACAGCAAGGATACCCACTGTCCCACAGCCCCACAGCCTGCACGACGTCGGGTCGCCACTCGCGCAGGAAGCTGCGTGCCCAGGGGGCAACCGGCCCCTGGACCAGGAGACAGGTGGAGCCGCCCCGGCCCTCCCCCACCCCCGCCCAGGCCAGGCGGAAGGCGTCAAGGTGACGGCTGGCGGCCACATTCTGGTCGCGGCCAAGCCCCGGGCTGCCCTGCGGCACCTTGCTTTTCACAGCCCGCCCCCGGGCAGCACGGACAGCTCTTCACGGACGCGGGCGGGAGGGGAGGCCAAGGACAGCCACTGGCCACGGCCCACGCCGCCCTCCCACACACGCCCCAGCCCAGCTCAGACCAGCCCCGAGCCCGAGCCCGAGCCCCGCCCGCTCCCGGCCCCGCGGACTAAGCACACTCACCACGGGGCTCCCGAGCGCAGGCCCTGTGCCGGGAGCGGGCGGGCGCTGACGCACGGCCCTGCCGCCTGGCCGGCTCGCCCCGCGCTCGTGCATGGGATCTCTGCTGCCGGCGCCTCCCTGCAGAGGCAGCCCCACCTGTCCCGAGGCTGGGACGGCCTCAGCTGGCCACGGCCCGCTTGCCTCTGCCTCCCCAGTGCCCGAAGGACACCGCCGCAGCTCGCCCGTCATAAGCTAAGCGGGTGTGGACAGCGAGGCAAGCGGGTGGCAGAGCGCGCTCTCGGCACCCCACTGGCACGGTGAGCCCTTTCCTCCTCCTGGGGACAACGGGAGCCCCCAGCCCGCCCGCCGGGCGTCCGCACACTGGTCACTCCGCACACAACGGGCCGCAGCGGGGCAGATGCGTGTGGGCACTGCCGCTGACTGGGCAGGGCAGCCCTTCTGGGGGTGACTCCCGACTCGGCGCCCATCCCGGAAGCGGCCAGAAGGATGCCGCACCGTCTCGCCCGGGACTGGGCGGGGACTCCACCGCTGCGAGGCACGGTCACTGGGAGGACAGGCTGCCGGCGCTTACCCACGCCCCCCAGTCGGAGCGCAGCACTCTGCATGAAATGACTGGCAGCTGCCCCCAAGGGACAGTGGCGACAGTCGAGAGCCTGGACCTGGGTCCCTCGCTGACCGATGACAAAGCAGGGGCAAGGTGCCCGGCGGCCCGATGCCCTCTCAGAGCAGGCGCGCCTGTGCTGGACGGACAGCGGTCAGCACTGCCCTCCCCCTTCTCCCTAGCCCTCCTCACGGCCGCAGGTGCTTCCACCAGCTCCCCCCAACGCTACCGTGCCAAAGCGCCTAACCCAAGTTCCACACCGGGCACGCAGCCTGGCCGTCCAGCAAGGCCGGTTTCCGCCCCGCCGGCCTGGGCCGCGCGTACCGCACAGTCTAGATGGAGCCGGAAGAACGACCCCCCGAGACCGCCGCCTTCCCGGAGACCCGGGGGAGCAGCTCACAGGCTTCCCAGGGGCACGTGACGGGCAGGCGGCACCTGAAAGTGAGCAAGGCGCCGCCCGCAGCTCCCACCGAGCAGGCCAAGCATGGACACGCATCAGGGCAGCAGCGGCGGCCACCTGGGGGCAGCAGGCTGGGGCTGCTTTAGTCCTTTCGGGCGAGAGCCGCCCCACACCCCTCCGCGGGCTGCTGGAGGCGGCGCCTGAGTGCCGGGGCGTGCTCGGCTCCGTGTGCTGTGGCGGGCGCTGGCTCCAGGCGGTGACACGAGCCGAGAGGCAGCGGACGAGCGCACGGAGCGCTCACGTGCGGTCTACTGTCCCCTAGGCCGGCCGGAGAGGCACACATCAGTGCGGGGCCACGGGAGCGGCCTCCCGGGCAAGCGGCGACCCGGCCCACAGTTCCGGCCTCGCCTGGAAATCCAGGTCAAGACCTGGACAGCCTCCAGCACCCCAAGGGGGCTGCGGACTAAATGCGCCACCTCGCCACGCCCCACGCTGGGTCCACCCCACCCCACCGCGTGGCACCACACGGGACGTCGCTCCGCAGACGCCAGCGTTCTCGACGGAGGCCTCAGGGCTCCGCCTGTCCCCTCTCTGCTGCCAGGCTGCTCTCTCACGCCCGGCCCGACACCCTTCTCACCGCTGCCCCTCGGCGCGCTAAACTCCACCTAACTCTTGAGAACTCCCAAGCTCCCGTAACTTCTTTCTCTGCCTGCCTTTCTGGTCTCAGCCGTGGCCAGCTGGGCCCTGGCCCCTCGAACGCCTCTGCAGAGTCCCCCACGGGGCCTGTCCTCCGGGCCCCCACGCACGCTGGCCTGCAGCCTCCACACGGCAGACAGGCGCTGCTGCGGGTCTCCTGCCTTCCCGCGCTGCACTGTCCGAGTTTGAGAGTCACGTCCAGGCCACGCTCACTGGTGTCCCCAGCGTGGCAATGCTGCTCTCTTGGCGACATTTTTATTGACTGATAGTCACTGCAAAAGAATGTTTTTCTCTGGGACCTCCCTGGGGGCGCAGGGGTCAGTCCCAGCACTTTGAAGCCGTCACGGCCACATCCCTGGCCAGGGAGTGACCCCAGGGCGCAGCAGCCCGTCCTGTCTCCCTGCCCACTCCCCTCAGCAGTGGGTTTCAGTGGACTGGCCAGAGTGCTCCCCGCTCCATCTCTGGCGGGTCTCTCACCCCTGCACCTCTGGGCTGCGCCCGGCGCTTCCACACACAGAAACTGAACGAACGGCCCCGCCCGGCCCCTCACCTTCACACTCCGACGCGGGGAAGAGAGGAGAGTACAAGGCTTTCTCCCACCAGGTCTGCTTCTCCGGACTTCTGTTCACCCCGTGCACATCGGTGTTCAATGCGGGGAGCTGTCAGATAAACCGATACGGGAAAATTTATAAACGTCCAGAATAAAGGGAAAACTGCAAGCATTACTCGTTATGAAGTAGCTAAAAACCCCCGATTTTTTACTAGCTGTTTTCTTAGTTTTTTCTAGAAAGGTGAACCAAAAAGGTGCGCGCGCACTCAGGGCACACAGCAGGCCTGGCTGAAGAAACACTCGCAGCAGACAAACTCTCCTCAAAGAGGCTCCTACCCGGGAAAGGTGACGGGCCCAGCGCCGAGCGGGGCGCCTCTCTAGATGTGGGGCGCAGCGGGGTGATGGGCAGCCGCGGGGCGCCGAGCATGAAGCGTGCCGGAGGAAGGGGGCCGCCCTCCTGACCCCCGCAAGCCGAGGCGGTCAGAGGACACTTCGCTGAGACGGGGCCCAGCGTCTCCTAGCAAACAGCCGCTGGGGGGAGAACCGGAGCGCGAGGCTGACGCCAAGCATGACTCGAGACCACGACAGGAGCAGCACGGCAC